GTATGTATTTATATATATTCATATCATAATCATTGTAGTTATTATTATTGTCTCTAAAACACCAAGGTGGGGTCACTGAGGCACGGCGTCCGCCCTCTTTACACTGAGGTTTCACACAACTTTAACAACGGCTGCAGAGCGAGAGGTCGGAGGAAAACCTAGTAACTTGTTTTGGAAATATACTTTTTTTTAAGCATTCAGTTCTCAGTGATGGAGAATTGAATTATTATTTGATTTACAAGGTTTTCATCCTCCAAATATAATGTGCATCTGCATTTTCAGCAAAAACCACGCCAAACCGTTTGTTTCTAGAAACCTCTTATCTCCAACTTTTTATATTTTTCCACTCGCTTTTTGTAGACGTTTTTGATGAATTTCCCCAATTTTCTTGCAGGAATAAAGGACGAGGTGTCAGGAGGGGTAACATTTGACATAATCTGAAAAAAGGCATCTTTCTTGAGATATGAGGTTTCTGTGGAACTGATATGAAGCCAGAGAGATTTGAACAACCGTTGTGAAACCAGCTCAGTGTAAACGGGGCGACGTGGTTAATAAGCATTGAGAGAACGCTTGGAAAAAAGCAAATGAATGACGACGAAAAACAGTAAAAACATCATCGTTATTATCCTCATTCTGTAAATTAGATACAGCATAACTCACTGCCTGTTTACATAACTGTTGTATTGCATTTATCACACAGTTTATAATAACAATAGTAATAATAATGAACAATGAAACTTGTTTTCTGTGCATTTCCTCCGTGTTGATTCCGCAGATGTTTGTCGTTTTATTTTGAAGGTGACAAAGCAGCTTTTGGTTTTGAAACGGGTAAAAGAAGGCAGGAAGGAGCCGAGATTCTCAGTTTGTGTTTTTAACACTCTTCCTTCCTTCCTTCCCCCCCCCCCTCCAATCTTAATTTGGACTCTTCCGAACCCCTTGGTAGCACCACATGGACCGACCCGAAGCTCAGAGCAAAGGTGGCAGTTTTCCTCCAAAATAAGAGTTTTTTGCTTTAATTCTTCCAAATCGCAACAGAAAGTAAAGTGACAGATCTTCGTTTCCTGCAAAGACATGTCGGGGGTTATTTTGAAGGTTCTTCCCGCCAGTAGTGAGTCGTCAGAGTGTAGTTCATGTACGGAGAGCTGATGTTGTACCACGTACTGCCCTGATACTGACAGTACATTTTGACTGTTTTTGTGCTCAGTGCAAACCAGAGTCTAGAGTTCCAGATTCACTAAAGTTACACTGGGAGGCCAACGTTGTGCATTTTGTTCCTCTGCTGTTGCTTAAGAAGTGACATTGTGAGACATAGTGGAACAGTTTAACCTTAAAATGACCATTTGAATCAGTTACTCAACGTGTGTTACGATTCATTCTTGAAAAAACGTTGCTTTTCCCACATGCCTAAACTGGAAATGGAAATAGATCAAGTCCAGGTTTAACAAAAGCAAATCTTTAGCATATGTTTGCAAACACTTCCTGCATTATTATCCAGGTCTTATTAATCTTGCTGTATGCTCACTATTTCCCCAAAACAGGCATTTTACTTAAATCTTATCATTTAAAACTCTTCTTCAACTTGTGTTTTATGTTGTGCAGGTCGCTGCAAGTCTGTGCATTAAACTGTCTGTGCAGAAGTGTTTTTGAATAGCAAGATTTAAGTTCAAATGCATGTGTTTAAGAAAGTTTGAAAGTTGCTGAACTTGGCCACAACACTTCAATTTCACACAACTTTGTTCGTGTTAGGATGTTTGAAAAGCAAAACTTTCTTCCAGACATTAAAATGAAACTACGTGAGTAACTGATAAATAAATAAGTACTCTTTTAAGCTGCCAATTTCCACCATTGGCCCCTCACAGTACTGCAAGACAAATTCCCCTAAATCCCAAAAAAGGGGCAAAATGCACTTTTTTCCCTGCAGTCTTTAGCAAATCTGAAGCTTTTTGACCTTTTAAAGTAAAAAATAGAGAACCAAATCAGCCAATCAGCTCTCTGTGCTGTTTGTTGGACAACTTTATGAGGAAGAGTCACAGCGGTGATGGAGAGGGACGAACCTCGTTCAATATCAAAAAGCATAAGAATCATTTCATAAATCAGCCAACCGACCAGTCAAATAATCACTCAGTCTGCCAGTCAAGAAATCAAAGCCTCAACCAGTCTGCCAATCAAGCACTTTATCAGTCAACCAATGAGAGCATGGCTTGGGGTGTGGGGTCATATGTAGCAGGCACACTCTGGGTCTATTGCTACTGAAAAGCCCTTCAGCACAACTGCAACCTGAAATACGCCTCGCAGCAGAGTTCAGCAGTGTCTTAAGTATTTACCTAGTTTATATCGTTGTCTATTCTCAATAGAATCTAGTAGAAATAGAGTCCAGACGGTGCCAGTAAAACTCAATTTTTTGTTTTTGTTTTTTTTTGTTACTTTTCTAAAGTCTAGTAAAGCGCTTAGTAAAGATCCCTCGGGTGACCACGACAACAGAGACAGAGAGAGAGAGGTTGTTCGAAATATTGAGATCAAAGCAGACTGTACACACACACTTTGACACTTCATCTTAATAAAAACAAGCGCAAACGCTGCTTCACATCGGCCTCGTGACACTGTATGCACCTGTGTGTACACCGTGTTTTTGTGGCAATCATTACTCCTCAGATTCATACAGTGAGAAAACTTCAGTGAAGTCAAATGTTTTCCACTTGAAAGGGTATCGGCAAACCATTATTGCTAGACGCGCCCCCCCCCC